GATGAAAGCTCAGAGAGACTGGTGTGCTTTATATCTTTCACAGTTTGCATGTTTATTGGAGGTTGGCTGTAGATGTTGTTTAGATTCTTATGGTTTTAATGATGCTTGGAACATCCACAATGTATTTCTCGATAAGATTTCTGTGTGCTGTCCAGAAAACAACTTTTGAATAAATGAGCTATAGGTTTGGATCCCATACTCCACTGATGTCCCTGTCTGTGTCTACACATTGCTTTGTTATATGCATTTTCCTGATATTTAAATCCTTCCCAGCAATATATCTTCAGTTGACTTACCTGTTTAAGCCTTAATTTTATTATTTAGTGTTGCAGAAATACCATAATCCTTTGTGTAGCATCTCTTTTGGTTGTGCATATTTTCTAAAGTGTATATACAGTCATGGCCGAAATTGTTGGCACCCTTGATATTTTTCCTGAAAATCAAGTATTTCACACAAAAAAGGTATTGCATTAACACATGTTTTGCTATACACATGTTTATTCCCTTTGTATGTATTGGAACAAATATAAAACAGAGGCAGAAAAGCAAATATGACATAATGTCACACAAAACCCCAAAAATGGGCTGGACAAAAGTATTGGCACCCTTAACTTAATATTTGGTTGCACACCCTTTGGAAAACATAACTGAAATCAGTCGCTTCCTATAACCATCAATAAGCTTCTGACACCTCTCACCCGGAATTTTGGACCACTCTTCCTTTGCAAACAGCTCCAGGTCTCTCTTATTGGAAGGACACCTTTTCCCAACAGCAATTTTAAGATCTCTCCACAGGTGTTCAATGGGATTTAGATCTGGGCTCATTGCTGGCCACTTCAGAACTCTCCAGCGCTTCTTTGCCATCCATTTCTGAGTGCTTTTTGACGTATGTTTGGGGTCATTGTCCTGCTGGAAGACCCAGGATCTTGGACGCAAACCCAGCTTTCTGACACTGGGCCCTACAGTGCGACCCAAAATCCTTTGGTAATCCTCAGATTTCATGATGCCTTGCACACAGTCAAGGCACCCAGTGCCAGAGGCAGCAAAACAACCCCAAAACATCATTGAACCTCCACCATATTTTACCGTAGGTACTGTGTTTTGTTCTTTGTAGGCCTCATTCCGTTTTCGGTAAACAGTAGAATGATGTGCTTTACCGAAAAGCTCTATCTTGGTCTCATCTGTCCACAAGACGTTTTCCCAGAAGGCTTTTGGCTTACTCAAGTACATTTTGGCAAACTGTAGTCTTGCTTTTTTATGTCTCTGTGTCAGCAGTGGGGTCCTCCTGGGTCTCCTGCCATAGCGTTTCATTTCATTTAAATGTCGACGGATAGTTCGCGCTGACACTGATGCTCCCTGAGCCTGCAGGACAGCTTGAATGTCTTTGGAACATGTTTGGGGCTGCTTATCCACCATCCGGACTATTCTGCGTTGCAATCTTTCATCAATTTTCCTCATCCGTCCACGACCAGGGAGATTAGCTACAGTGCCATGGGTTGCAAACTTCTTGATAATGTTGCGCACTGTGGACAAAGGCAAATCTAGTTCTCTGGAGATGGACTTGTAACCTTGAGATTGTTGATATTTTGCCACAATTTTGGTTCTCAGGTCCTCAGACAGTTCTCGTCTCCTCTTTCTGTTGTCCATGCTTAGTGTGGCACAGACAGACACACAATGCAAAGGTTAAGTGAACGTCTCTCCTTTTTATCTGCTTTCAGGTGTGATTTCTATATTGCCCACACCTGTTACTTGCCCCAGGTGAGTTTACAGGAGCATCACATGCTTGTAACATTCTTATTTATCCGCAGTTGTGAAAGGGTGCCAATACTTTTGTCCAGCCCATTTTTGGAGGTTTGTGTGACATTATGTCGAATTTGCTTTCTTTCCTCCCTTTTTTTGTTTTGTCCCAATACACACAAAGGGAATAAACATGTGTATAGCAAAACATGTGTTAATGCAATACGTTTCGTGAGAAATACATGATTTCCTGGAGAAATATCAAGGGTGCCAACAATTTCGGCCATGACTGTAAATGAGCTGGTCTTGTTTGTTCAATTACAAGAATTTTATGTCTAATTGATAAGTACAAAAATATGCCTGTTGATCCTACCAGAAATCCAGTAAGCTCATACCTTTTTGTATGCTCTGCTTCATTTAAATCCTAAGCATTATCAGTCTTGCCCTATTATCTACTATGGTCTTCAAAACATCTCTCCTGTGTTATGGAGAGGCATTTTGTATTCTCTGTCAGCACTTGTCCTCAATACAGTATAACAGCATGGTCCCCTTAGGAATCGAAGGCATCCACAACATCAAAGGACATCTTGGTTTTAAATACTGTTTTAACCACTTGAGCTCCGAATGGGTTTTACACCCTTCATGACCAGGCCGTTTTTTACTAGTTAGCACTGTGCTGCTTTAATTGATAATTGCACAGTCCTTCAACTCTGTACTCAAATGAAAAAAACTTTATATCATTTTGTTTCACACAAATAGAGCTTTCTTTTGGTGGTATTTGATCACCACTGGGTTTCTTTTATTATTTAAATGAAAATGAGACTGAAAATTAAAATCTATCCAATAAAAAAGATTTTTTTTAATCTAATTTCTTCATAAATTTAGGCCAAAAGGTATCCTGCTACATGTCTTTAGTAAACAAAAAAAAATCAATAACTGTATATTGATTGGTTTGGGTGTGTGTGAGTATACTGGAATTTTTTGAATTTATTTTTTTAGTACACTAGTAATTATGGGTATCAGTGACTTATAGTGTTACTGTGATAGTGCAGCAGACAGTCTGACACTAGCTTACACTGACATCACCAGTGACACTAATATAGTGATCAGTGCTAATACTATACACTGTCACTGTGTAAGGATACTGGTTGGAAAGGGGTTAAAATCTTGTGGTAATCAAGGCGTTAAGTGTCACTGTCACCTAACAAGTGTTAATTGGTCTGTTATGTGCTGCTTTTTACAAAAAATTTGTGTTCCTTCTCCCTGCTGTGCAGGGAGCAAAAACAAAGTGATCCCTCTGTGCAAAGCCCTGTGTTGGTCATGGCAGGGACTTGCTAACTATATCCCGCTGTGGTCTAATCATAGCAGGAGTCTGCTGAGGGTGGGCTCATGCGTTCGGCAGCAAGTAGCGAAGTACAGGTACATCACTGTGCCTGTAGGAGCTGTCTGTACACAGTACGATACGGGTGGCCCTAAATTGGTTAAACAACCTGCTATATCCACCTCAAAGACATCTTATTTACAGCTTATATGCTTCACTGTTTGGGGAGCTTTCAGCCTTTCTCATTCTTTTTTACTCTCTATGGGAACGCAACCTGGGAATCTCACTACAAGCAGAAGATTGGGAAACGATTTGTAAAAATGTTCATGGAGGTTCCATAAACATAACTACCCAGGAATGTGGATATAAGATTCTCACTCGATGGTACAGGACCCCAGCTCTTCTCCATACGTTTTTACCAGTGATACCGAATACCTGTTGGCGTTGTGAGCCTGACGTTGGTAGGAAGTTGCATGTCTGGTGGTCCTGCCCTAAACTACAACCTTTCTGAGAAAAGGTTCATGAGATCACTAAGCTGGTCTCTACGGTCGATATTGCATTTATACCAGTACAATACCTTTTGCACTATGATGCTGTTTCTATTACCAAATATCGTAAATCCCTGGCAATGTTCATGATAAATGCGGCAAGGCATTGCATTCTGTGCCATTGGCGTTCAAATAGAGTTCTGATTTATTAAGGAATGGTTTCATAGAGTGACGGTGATGGAAGAATTTATTTGCATTTCTCAAGATAACATGTCTAAACATACCTCTACATGGTATTGTTGGATTCAATTGACATAACACCCCAATAAGATGGTGTATGTGGTGAAAACCACAATTACAGATCAAAACTAAAAGGAAAACATCTTAGAATTATTATTGTACTTTCCCTATCACTGGCGCTGACCAGCTGCATGTGAGCTTTAGGGGAAAAAAAAAGGTTGGTCTTCTGTATTACTAGGCTTCTGTAAGAAATTTTCTTGGATTATCTACTGGTTTACAAAAGAAAAAAATTAACAACAATGTAGGAGTTAGTGACCAATGTACAATATAAGTAAATTTGTCAAGAGAAAATGCTAACTATTTGTCTGACATAGTAAACCAATTAGCTTTAATACTTTTGAGTCTTTCATTTGGAACTAGTATGCAGATAAGGAAAGTCAAACATCCTTTCCAGCAATGAAGCCTACTTTTGTACCTCATAGCAGGCTTCTTTTTTTTTTTTTTTTTTTTTTGTTTCATAAACTTTTATTGCAGATTTTAGAAAACAAGAATGAGAAAACCAATGAGTAACCAAAGAGGCAGAAACTCTGGTCGAGCTCCAATCCCATTCGCTTGCTATGGAACTAATCCGAAGGGAAAAATCTCGACAAGACTCCGAAGGTCCCAGAAGCCATGAAGATTCTATGGTAACCCTGGGAATACAATACTTTCACTATTGGCAGTGTTCCTGACAGCACTGGGTTGCTTTGGCTTCTTTTAAAAAACGTGTATGCTCGAAGGCCTTGTTCCACTTAAACATTTAATCATAATTATTGCTTATTCCATTTTTTTTTTGTTCCTGGAGAGCCCTGACATGTCCTTTACAATGTAGAGGTGAAACCCCCCCCCGTGAATCTCACCATATGTTCCAAGGTACTTGGGCTCCACTCACTTATTTTATGTATGTTGGCGAAGTCCCGATTACATTTCATCTAAACTCTGCTCTTGTGACCCCAGTTTGGTGTGGTTTTCATTTTGTAGCAAACATACTTTCTTCTGGAGCTGATTTAAGCCCCCCCCCCCTATTTTTATGCATACTGTATGCTTCCAGAACACTTCAAATGGCAGGAAGATGTGTAGTCTTTCCAGCAAATTAGGGATGTATTGTTTTCTGTGGTTCTCTATCCTTGGTTCACAACTGTCTAAATATCTAAATATATGGACCTTCCCTGCTCATATGTATTTCTTTTCTTTTGTTAATGCTAGTTTTTAGGTTGGACTTTTTTAAACTTTTAAAAATAAGTTCTGCCTAAAAGCAACACTAAAGGAATGGAGAATTTTGGCTCAATAAATTGCGTCAAGATTCACCAGTTATGCAATCATATCAAAAGCAAATTCCTGTGTATTTCAATTGCTCATGATTTAGTATTCCAAGTAAACGTTATGGTGTCTATTACCTTTGTAAGAAAATGTGTGTACACCAATCTGAACCTTTACTAACTTTTGTAGTCCATAGAAATTGTGTACAGTACTTCCTGGACACCTCTCCCTGGACAAAATGGGGAGCACTCATTAGAGGACTGTGCAGGGGAGTAAGGTTTGGCTTCAGCTAACAGACCTCTCCCCAGTAGTCTGGAGGTCAGACCCTTAGTAAATAGGTATTTGAGGAACACATAGGTTTTTTGGCAAACCAAATTATTGGCAGATTTTGTTGGATACTCCTCTTATCAATTATAACATTGCTGACCGGTTTGCTTGAGCTGTCTATGGTGTCTTGGGGCAACCCGTCTATTTCAGTATCCTTACCATCGATTAAAGCCTCTGGAACCTGGAGGAACCCGAGCTGAAGATCAACTTGATGGATTTCAGGAGATCCAAAAAATAATCTTTTCATTTCTTTATTAGACTGATCAGCTGAAGGGCCACCTGGAGAGGATCCAGGCCTACAATGCCAGAGTTGTGGTGTAAACAAATCACAAGGTGGCACAGGAAGCTTGGTAATTTTTAGACAAGTGGAACATCTCTTTTGCTGGGTGTAAAATAAGGTCCAGCTCTTTATGCAGCCTATATACCAGCCATGGAAAACTGGTGGGAGTACTTGAGTTTGTTAAATGTCCTTACTGTCTCTATCCACGAGCAGTGTCTACCAAAAAGTGTTTTTATCAGATCTGTCAACAAATGTGGATCTGATGGCATCCCATCACAAGGAAAACAGGATCATCCCAAGAGACCATCTGACAGATGTTATAGATGCTCTGGTGTCCCTGTGCTCCTGCTGTTCACATTTCTGCCCCTGTAACTTCTCCCTATACTCATATGGAGGGTTGAATCAGAGGGAATTGCCAAGAAGAGGTTAGTACTCTGACTCAGTGGGGGAGAATGATTAAAACTGAAGCGCTCGGAATCTGGTGTAGCTGTGCATGATAACCAATCAGCTTCTAACTTCAGCTTTTTCAGTTAAGCTTTGACAAAATCTGGAAGCTGATTGGTTTCTCTGCAGAGGTGCACCAGGTTTTGCATGCTACAGTTTTAGTAAATCTCCCTCAGTTTGTCTGGTCACAGATGGCCCCATGGTCTTTCCCGGCTCAACAGGACGTCCTTTCCCATGGTATGATCCTGCATTCTACTGCTTGGTTGCTGGCACATTTGGCATGGCTGCTGAAACCCAAGTGCTGAGGGAGGCCTCTACACTAACTTCTACCATGTTTAGGGCTCAAAAACAACCATCCTGCATGGTATAGCGTCATATTTGAAAGACCTACTTTAGGTGGTCCAACTAACTTCTTACATCTGCACCAGTTTGGTCACTCATGTCCTCGGATTTTCCCAGTTGGGCATACAGTAGATCTGTGCTTGGCACTAAGCACCATTAAAAGACGAATATCAGCCTGGCAATTCTGTTTTAATGGGCAGTTGTATCTCATTCATTGGTCGATACTTGTGTTCAGGATGCTACTCACATTGCTCCCCCTTTTATATGACCCCATTTTCACCGTTGGATCTTAACTTGACCCTCTCCCAATTAAATCACCCTCTTCTTGGGATTTTGAAGGCAACTGAAAAGACTCTTAATTGAAATTGTAAAAACATTCTTTTATTGTGCTTTCATATTTTAAAATTAACTGATCCACATTAAAGAGCATCATCCATAACAAGATATCCGATTAATATACAGTGCACATTTCCTGCACATCATTGTTCTCTTAAGCGATAACATGCTTTAGTGCATCCTCATTTGAAAAGGAGACACCAAAGGATTTTTACATATCCAAACTTTAGAGCCAGTTGGATCTTAATGGTAAATGGGTCAGCTTGGTTATCCAACACACGTTTCAAACTTCTTTATTATAACTCCTTCCTCAGTGATATAATACCACTCTGTAATATAAATACTAATTTACAATCCTGTACATCACAAAATCCAAACAGGAAACATCAGTGGTTCCCCAATATATATATAATACATCTTTAAGAACGTGCATAACCCATAATTTTGTTGAACATGGATGTCTCTCACAGCTGGAGTACAGTGCATGTTTGCCATGGCCACCTCTTTAGCTTCTTTTCCTCAGGCAAAATGGGCCAAATAAGAGATTGAACTGAAAAGTCAAAATTTGTAAAAAGAGGGATGCAGTACTTTGGAAATTGCTAATATATTGGGGCGTGATCATGAAACCATCAAATACTTTACTTCAAAATGTCCATAGGGTCACAAGAAACGTGTTGAGAAAAAGATTTGAGAAGAATCAAAACGTGAAGCTACCAGCAACCCATTATCCTTCAGTGCTGTCATAGTCCAGAACTACAACCTGACTAAAGATAGTTTTTTTTGGAGGTTACAGAATAAATTACTGTATCACCCAATATATGGCTTCCATTCAGTAGCCCAAAGAGGCATACAAAAAAGAAGGGTTTGTGAAAAGGAATTCACAGAAAAAAGCGGCTACATTATGAACACAATGTGATACTCAGAAAAATTTCCAAAAATTATGCTTTATTACATATAAATATTTGACATATGGGCAATCGCCCTGGTTTACCTTCACCTCAGTATGAGACAATACACACAGACCTAAAACCATATAAAATAACACCAAGACCGGATCTTTATAGAAGATTTAGGGAACAGGGATACTCTCACTCTCAGATCAGAAAAGCTCGGAGACGGGCATATCAAACTGACCGTAAGGATTTATTATCTCCTAAAAAGGAGGAGAAGGTCAAATTAAGTGAGCAACCTGTTAGAATGATAACTCAATTTGGAGCCCAATGGCAAGCTGTAAAACAAATATTAGAAAAACATTGGAAGATTTTAACTCAATGTCCCAAATTGAATAAAATTGTAGGTGAGCGCCCCCAAATGGTAGCAAGAAGAGCACCAAATCTTGGTGACCTCCTTATTCATTCTGACTATCAACCGTTAAAACAGACAACATGGTTAAAATCACGTACTAAAGGGATGTTTAAATGTGGAAAATGCCAAATCTGTAAATATGTGGATCGTACAGACTCTTTTTTTGACTCAAGGAATAGCACTCATTATAAAATTCAAAGCCTTATAAATTGTTCTACAGTGAGAGTATTATACATTTTGACTTGTCCCTGTAAAAAGATGTATATTGGTAAGACCAAAAGACAACTTAAGGTACGAATAGGTGAACATTTCAGAGATATTAGATCTAATGACCCTGAAAGTAATCTTGCCCAACACTATGCTAAATATCATGGAGGTAAATTGGATGGTACAAAAGTGAAAGGTTTCTATGCATTGCATTTCCCTCAAAGGAGAGGTGATTTTGATAGAGAACTGCTAAAAAAGGAGAAATATTGGATATATAAACTTGATACATTGTACCCAAAGGGGTTAAATGTGGAATGTGATCTCCAAGTATTTTTGGATAAATAGATCTGTATGGATATATGTTCTTATATTGCCATATGTTGGTCAATCTGTGGTAATTCCTCACTCCTGTCAATGGCTGGTTAATGCGTTAATTGAATTATTAAGGACAATATGTTAATTAATTAAGATTAACCTTCTTTGGGGAGATATCTAATAACCTGATGGTACACATTGAAATATAGGTCTAGAAGTGTAGAAGGGACTAATCTTTGAACTATTTTCCTCTCCTTTGAGAATAAATGTACACTTATAAGTGGTTAATTTGAAGTTTAGGAACCCTGGGCAAAATAACCTATAGAGGGATTTATTAATTAACATCGCCATCTTGTGGTGGTTTTGCGGTAATTTTTACTGTGTCCTTGTGTATTTTTGACCTAATAAATAGGTTTGGAGATCCTTTCATTAACACTGCCATCTCCTGGTGAAAGTGTGGTAATTTTCAATTGAATATAATTTTTGTTTATTACTTTTGTGTGCATTGCTGTAATTGTCAAGTCTTTCCTCCCTTTGATATTTCCAGTCGCCTGTCTTTTTAATTTAACTATGACCAGCGGTTGTGCTAAGTATTTAGCCCCTTTTCTTCCATTGGGGATAACTGCAATGTAATTTTTTGCATATGTGGGTGGGTCTTAATCCACTATAAATAGAAGGTTGAAACGTAGGAATCCCATTGGTCCTGACGAAGCTGAGTGAGATACGCCCATCGGCGAAACGCGTTGACGTCATACGTCAGATACGTCACTTCCGGTCATGCGCACTAGGTGGAACGCACGCTGACCTACAAGGAGGTAGCCATCTTCACATGCCATGAGGCATACTTAGGCGGCACAGGCGCCATGGAGAGGTCGGAACCCGCGGTATGTCGGCTGATGTTAGCGGTGGTTCCTTGGTTCCATACAGCAGTACCTTTTGAAGGGCAGTACTTATGAAGGATATCCTTTTCTTTCCTACTACCCATTGCACAGGTGGTGAGTGGACTGTTACAGGACATTAGATTTAAGGTCCCTTGTGACCTATATGGCATAAACGTCTATTATTGAGTGAAAGCTCTTACAGTGACTTCCCTCATATTGTTTGTCTTACTACAGGATGGGGACATTATGGTGCTTTATATAGGAAACAAGGCATGCCACATATATTTCAACGGGCGGAGGAGCCGCTGGGCCTTATCTTGTTTTCAACAAAAAGTGGTGTGTAGTCCACATGCTGTGGTGAAGAAATACCTTGAAGCAGTGTTCTGCTACTTTCATCTGTTTCTCCATCCAGGCAACAACTGGGGCGTTATTTATATCTAAAAGTCCTAAGAATCAGTCACTTATATTACAGATGAATGGGCCCCAACCACATGTGCCGGCATGGGACTGTACTGCATTTCATTTGTGATATCCTTTTGCTGCCTAACATAGGCTTATGGTTATGCCTCTCTTTTGGACGCACACTGTGCTCGCTGCATTGTATACATGTGATATTGCATACCTTTGGTATAATTTTTGGGAATTCCCCTCTATGGGATAGAACCTATATGGTCATGACACATGTCTTTATATTTATTACATGTGACACTATATACCTATGGTATAATTTTTGTGTACACCTCCTTTGGGAAGTGTTAACCTATGTGCCAGTGCTACAAAGACTTTAGACTTTAGTGGTCATTGTCTTTGCAGCACATCTATCCAGACCGGTCTTGGTGTTATTTTATATGGTTTTAGGTCTGTGTGTATTGTCTCATACTGAGGTGAAGGTAAACCAGGGCGATTGCCCATATGTCAGAACTACAACCTACCTGGAGTGCCCAGAAGTACAAAGTGATGGCCACGGTAAGGCAGGCTGAAACCTGACCACCACTGAACAATAAACGTAAGAAATAGCCAAGAAATATCTGAAGACAGATTTTTCAAAGGTTTATTGACTGATGAGATGAGCGATTCTTGCTGGACCAAATGGACGGACCCATGGCTAGATCAGTAATTGTCACAGAACTCCACTTTGATTTAGACGCCAGCAAGGTGGTGGTAGGGTTACTGGAATGGCTGGTATTAAAGATGAGCTAATTGGACCTTTTTGGATTGAAGATGGACTCAAAATCAACTCCCAAACCTACTGCCAGTTTTTAGAATACACTTTCTTAAAGCATGGGTACAGGAAAAAGTCTGCATCTTTCAAGAAAGGATATTTATGCAAGACCATGCTCCATCGCGTGCAACAGAGTACTCCACTGCATGGCTAGCAAGTAAAGGCCTAACAGATGAAAGAATAATGACATGGCCCTCTTCATCACCTGACCTAAACAATACTGAAAATTTGTGGGCCCTTCTTAAATTTTAGATGTGTCTGGGAGGCTGTGGTTGCTGCTGCACAAAAAATTGATTGCCAGCAGATCAAGAAACTGACAGACTCCATCATGAATGGAAGGCTTATGTCTGTTATTGAAAAGAAGGGTGACACTATTGGTCACTGATTTTTTTTTTTTTTTTTTTTTTAAATTTGAAATGTAATGTTTTTTGTAAATTTTGAGTTTATTCTCAATTTAACAGATGAAAATAAAGAATTGAGATGGTAAAATTTGGGTTTTTTCATTTAGTTGCATAATAATTTTGCATGCTAATAGTTGCCCAATAATTGTACACACATAGATATTCTCCTAAGAAAGTCAAAATGTCACTTTTTCTTTAACTACTTGCCAATCGCAGATAGCCGAATGACTGCTACACTGCGGCCCGGCCAGTTCTGGGAGGGCGTCATATGACGTCCTCCCAGAACGCGGTCTCCTACGCGCCCCCAGCGATCTCCGTGATAGCTGTGTCCTATGGACACAGCTGATCACGTGATGTGGTAAAAGGCCTTTTACCACGTGATCAGCCGTGTCCAATGACACGATGATCTCCAGGAAATGCAATTGCCGGTTCTCGGCTGCACTTTCCTCACGCTGTCAGCGTGAGGAAAGTACTGCCGAGAACAGTCAGTTGTCAGAGCAGGGATCGGCACTGCTCATCAAGGCACTGATGATCAGTGCTCTGATCGGTGCCCAGCAGTTCCACCCACTTGTGCTCAGCTGTGCACCCACCTGTGCCACCCAGCAGTGCCACCTACCTGTGCCCATCAGTGCAGCCCAGCTGTGCTGACAATCAGTGCCCAGCGGTTGTGCCAGTCAGTGCCGCCTATCAGTGCCGCCTTATCAATGCACATCAGTAAAGGAGAAAAATTACGTGTTTTTTTTTTTTTTGCAATTTTTTTGTGTATAGCGCAAAAAGTAAAGTGCCCAGCGGCGATTAAATATCACCAAAAGAAAGCTTTATTTGTGAGATAAAAATTTCATATGGGTTCAATCTTGCATGACCGCGCAATCGTCGTCAAAGTGCGACAGTGCTGAAAATTGGCCTGGTAAAGAAGGGGGTATAAGTGCCCGGTAGGCAAGTGGTTAAATATTCAGATTTGAGGTTTATTAACATTTTGGATTGACTGAGAGCTCTGTAGTTATTCAGTAATGAAATTATGTCTCAAAAATACAGCTTGCCTAATTGTGCACAAAGTGTAAGTGGATTTCCCAGTTTTCTCAGGCTTGTTCCCTGAAGTAATTGAAATCTGTTACAGGGTACTGCTTATTCCGCTATACTGATGAATGTCTTCTGGCACCAGGTTTCAGGTTCTTAGGTATGCAAAGCTCTTGCCTTGCATAGTTTACCAAGTTTTAGCAAGGGGATGTGGCTGCTTCAATGGATACTAGCTTTGAACTTAAAGTTCTGAAGGCTGCTCATTATTAATATTATAAGCGATTTATATAGCGGCAACAGTTTGCACAGCGCTTTACAAAAATGAAGGTAAACATTAGTTACAATACAATTTGGTACAAGAGGAAACAGAGGGCCCTGCTCGTTAGAGCATAGTATTCTCCTTAAAGCAGTATTAAGCTGAAAAGCAAACCTTTATTATTTTGCAACTTGCAAATTCCTAGATGCAATGCCTGCATTAGTTGTTCTTTTTTTAGGCTTTCTTGTATTCTCTGTTTTTGTACAGAACAAACTATCCTGCAGATGTAGCAGTTGGGGGTTGAGATAAACCGTTAAACATTGATAGGGGTGCTTTGAATGATCAACTTTTATTTTCTGTGTTTATGTAAAACCTTTATCCGGAAAGGAACAAAACCGTTGCTGTCCCTGCTTAAAAAAAAAGTTAGGCTGCTTTCGCAATTATCAGTTTTTTTTCTTCCCTTTTTGCGTAAAAAAAAAAAAACAGAAGAAAAATGTGGCCATGTATTCCCGTGGAATTCCTCATACTGATCTGTGTATTGGTTCGGTGTGTTTTTCAAAGTCTTGCTTGCTGCATTTTTGGTGCAGGTTTGGTGCAGTAAAAAAACGCACCTCCCCATTGAAATCAGTGGAAAACATGTTAAAAACGCACTCGCATCGCGTTTTTGGTGCGGGTTTTAAGTCACGTGTCCTTTAAAAAAACCGCACTGCAAATGCAGTAAAACACGTGTGTTTTCCTCATCTTTGCCACAGATCAGTGTGAAAGTAACCTTGGAGTCTGTATTTGATTTGTTTAGTGCAGGGGGTCTCCAAACTTTCCAAACAAAGGGTCAGTTTACTGTCCTTCAAACTTTAGGGGGGGGCGGACTGTGGTCCGTGGCAGTAGGAAATATCCTGACTTGGGAGTAAACAATGCCCTATGATTGGTATTAGTGGGCGTAATAGTGCCCCGTCTTTGGTACTAATGGGAGGAATAGTGCACCATCATTGGTGTCAGTGGGAGAATAGTGCCCTATTGTTGGTGTCAGTGGCAGGAACTATACCCCACGGTTGCTGACAGTGAGGGAGATAATGCCCCAAGGGCCAGATAAAAGCAAGTAAAGGGCCGTATCTGGCCCCTGGGCCGCAGTTTGGAGACCACTGGTTTAGTGTATCCCAGGCTAGGTACACGGTGTAATGTTTTTTTTTTTTTTGTTTTTTTTTCTCTCATTCAACCCAGCAGGCTAAACGAAAACAAAAATTACATTGCTGTAC